GGCTGCTGCTGGATGTAAGGACACCCCCGACACCCCTCAACAACCCCCAGCCCAGGGCAGGGGCTAAGGAAAAAGGGGGAGAACCCACAGCCGGGGGCTGCAGAGCCTCTCCATGGGGGTGAGGGTCTCAGGAGGGACACGCCAAGGCAGTGAGCTGTGCCCTCTGGTCTAGGGGTGGCCATGGAGTCCCAGGGGGTGGCAGGGAGGGGGGGCAGTCTCCTCCCAAGCCCTCTCCATGCCGTTGCAGAGCGGGATCAACGCCCATGTCAGGAACACCTACAACCAGACAGCTCTCGACATCGTCAACCAGTTCACCACCAGCCAGGCCAGCAAGGAGATCAAGCAGATGCTGCGGGGTAGGGGGGGCCAGGGCGGGGTCTGGATGGTGATGGTAGCACTGGGGTGGTGCCAGGCTGGGGATGACAGCCCCTGTGGCAGGACTGGATGACCAGCAACACTCCCACTCTGTCCCCACAGATGCCTCCGCTGCTCTGCAGGTCCGGGCCGTCAAGGACTATTGCAACAACTACGACCTGACCAGCCTCAACGTGAAAGCCGGGGATGTCATCACCGTGAGTGCAGCTGGGGGGGCCTGGGGGGGGCCCTGCTCGTGTCACCAGCCTCTGACCCTGCCCCTGCCTGCAGGTGCTGGAGCAGCACGCGGACGGGCGCTGGAAGGGCTGCATCCACGACAACCGGACCGGCAACGACCGCGTCGGCTACTTCCCCTCCAGCCTCGTCGAGGCCATAAGCAAACGAACAGGCAAATAATGGCCCCCCTCCTGCCTCCCCCCTTGGGGCTGCTCCCAAACCCTCAGCCCCAAGGACCCCTGTTTCGGTCTGGCGGTGCCAGGGATGCAGCTGGTGAAGCCAGGGTGATGCCCCTGTCATGCATGTGTTGGTGTCCCTGTCGTACGCGTGGGGATGGTGCCTTTGGGTGTCTGGGGTTGGTGTCCCCATTGTGTACATGGGGATGGTGCCTTTGGGTGTCTGGGGTTGGTGTCCCCGTTGTGTACATGGGGATGGTGCCTTTGGGTGTCTGGGGTTGGTGTCCCCGTTGTGTACATGGGGATGGTGCCTTTGGGTGTCTGGGGTTGGTGTCCCCGTTGTGTACATGGGGATGGTGCCTTTGGGTGTCTGGGGTTGGTGTCCCCATTGTGTACATGGGGATGGTGCCTTTGGGTGTCTGGGGTTGGTGTCCCCGTTGTGTACATGGGGATGGTGCCTTTGGGTGTCTGGGGTTGGTGTCCCCGTTGTGTACATGGGGATGGTGCCTTTGGGTGTCTGGGGTTGGTGTCCCCAGTGTGCATGTGGGGTCAGTGTGCTATGAAGTGCATGGGACTGGTGTCCCCATTGCATGCATGGGGACAGTGCCTTCAGGTGTCTGAGGCTGGCATCCCCATCAAGAGCATGGGGTTGATGTTCCCATTGTGCATGTGAGGTCAATGCCCCATGAAGGGTATGGGGACAGTGTCCCCACTGCGTATGTGTCCCCATTGTGTATGTGGGGCTGGTGCCCTCATTGTTCCTGTGGGATTGGTGCCCAGCTTGTGCACGTGGGGGTCAATGCCAGGTGCTCAAGGGGCAGACCCGGGTCTGGGCTGGTGTTGGCCTGGGGGAGGCATCTGTGGTGCCAGAAGGTTGACGCATGGGGCAAGCTGGGGGTCTCACTGCAGTCTGGGGGGATGGTGCAGCTGTGCTGCCAGGGGATTTGGCACTTGGGGTCTGTGCAGAGGAGCTGGGGTGTCAGAGACCTGGCGCTGCTCCACGGGAACCCTTGCCCTGGCCAGAGGCCATCTTAAGGATTGGACCCTGGTCAACTGCCCTGCAGCTGCCTGTCCCTATCCCCATCCCTGTAGGCTCCTGGTGGGATGCACAGTCCCCAGGGCTATGCCTGCTGTGGGTAGCATTGAACAGTGCCACATCCACCAGCTTTCTCCCCCATGATCTTGCTCACTGTGATCTCAGGTCAGGCATGGGCAGGGAATGGTGCGTTTGAACCAGGTCCCAGGGGAGCAGTGGCACAAGTGCCAGAGGCTATAGAGGTGCCTGTGCTGGGCAGGCAAAGCTGCCCTCTGGGGGCAGGCTGTGTCGATACCAGGGGGCTGAGGTCGGAGGGATGCTGCCGGGCCCAGGTGGTGTTTGCTGGGGCTGAGGTTTTGTTGTCATCCCACTGGTGCAGCCCTGGCCCCTGTGCAGTGGGACAGCAACGTGGTGGCAGCTGCACCAGGGCTTGGCCTGCTGGGCACAGGGCTGCTGGTGCTGTGGCCCCCAGCCCAGCCATGGCAGCCCCAGCTTTCCAGGACACCTTGGGGGGGGGCAGGACCCTTGGCTGTGGAAGCCCCAAAAGCTGCTGCTGCCTGGAGCAGGGGCTGTCCCGGTGTGGGTGCCCTGCAGGGGCCGCGGGGGGTCTGTGGGATGTGCCCATGGGCTGTACCCTGCCCTGCCCTGCGCTGAGCTCCCGCTGCTGCTCCCTGCTCTGCACCAGTTGGGTCTCAGTTCTGGCTTCTCCACATTCCCTTGGTTGCTCTTTTTGTTGGCTGCTTTTTTTTTTCCCCCTCTTTTATTTTTATTTTTATTTTTATTTTCCTTTCTTATTTTTTGAGGTTTTTTTGGTGTTGTTGTTTTTTTTTTTTTTTTTTTTTTGGCTTTTATTCTCTATCATTTTGATTCTTTTCATTTATGTCTCTTGTTATGTTTTATTATCAGGTTCATGGGAGACTGTAACAATCCCCCAACAGTACCAAAAGATCCCGCTCCCGGCTTACGGGGCTGCTGTGCTAAACGGTGACGCCTCGTCCCATGCGTTCCATTCCCTGCCTCCACCTCCACCTCCACCACCACATTCCCATCAGACTCTTTTCAGTTCCTTTGGCTATCACAGGCTCTCCCCTAGCAGTGCCGACGAGCCGCGTTACGGACAAGGTAGTTCACCGCTCGCTTCCCGCTCTTGCTGGATTTCTTTCTTTGCCTTTTAAAGTCTGTTTCGAGTCTTTTCTTCCAGCCCGGCCTCTCTGCCCTTTGCCGCGGCGCGTTCA